GTTCCTGATCTCCTCAAAGGACTGCGTACGCTTCAGAAACATAGTCAGTTTTGAAAGCAATCATGAGTTTTCAAAGCATTACTGTTCTTGGTTTCAGGATGGGTTGTAGGGAATTTCATGTTGAAGGCGGTCTTGGTCTTGCAAAGCATCATCCACCCTTGGTTTCAGTATAAGTTGTAAGGAGTCTCATCCTTAGGAAAAACCCACATCTGAACAACGCTCAGCCTCGATTTCTTAGCAGGTCAATGTCATCATCTCTGCACTTGCAGCACTGCAGAAGAAAACGGCTTGAAAACAAAAGCAACAAAAACACAAAGAAAACGTGAAGCTTCCGTGAGACCGGAGCTCGCATAGCGGCATTTAAATAGCTCTTTCTTGTGTGTTTTCTTATCAGATGACGATGGTTCTATGGCCATGAGAAAGACTTGAGGCGACTCTTTTTTTTTATTGGTGAATGATCATACTTAGCTGTAGTTTTGACCTGCAACTTTGCATTTGCAAGTCATTTTTTCGCGTGCAAGGATTGAGCAGAAAGTAATAAGGCCTTGTATATGTCTGAGCGCAGCTTTGGCACTAGCATTGACTTGCAATCTTTTGCGATCCTTTGACAGGCCGCGCAAGCCTCAGACAATGTCTTTGAGTTTCGAGATGTAAATTGAAAAACACAGCATGCAGACACAGACACACACACAGACACACACACACACGAACACTGTTCCGTACCAAGGACCTGCAATGGTTCGCTTTCCCTTTTGGTTCGCGGATGACGACGAAGTGCAGTTGCTGGGTTGCATGTATAACAACAATTTTGCAACAGCTGCCGGTTAAACTCGCAGCGCCAGGTGTGATGAGCACGGTACTTCTGGCGTTCCAAGTCACTTGGGCAAAAAATAGCTACATCAGTGCCTGCTGTATTTTCGAAGATCAGTATGCCGACGCACTTAGGTGGACCGGTTGTGCGGCTTCCTCGCTGGCGGACGGACTTGCTTCACCCTTAAATATCTGCGCGGAGGCTCGCTGATGAATTTGTTTTTTCCTGCAAGGAAATCCTCTGCCGTGATCACGCCTGCTGAGTTTTTGAAGGAGCGTGACACTTAATTCCACCTTTGCCGGATCAGCGTCAGACGTTTCGTGCATTATGTCGCCTTCGTGTTGAGCTTTTCACTAAGGCTTCAAGCTGCTGAGCCGACTCAGACCTTGGAGTCCACTGATATCATTATCGCTGCATTCTTTTTGTTTTTGCTGATCAACGCTATGTCCGAGGACTCCACAGTTGAAGCCGGGTAAAGTGCATCGCTTGGCAAAGTGCCATGCTCCGAGCCAAATGTCATGATTTGATTTAGTCAATTAATGTTGTCAGTGATCCCTGCTTTGCCTGATTCGTTCAGGGTACCTGGACTGCGGTGGCCACTGGAGAAGGACTCTTCCAGAAAAGATAATAAATTATATGAACTACGAACGTTTGCCCGCGCGTGAAATTCTGCAGGACAAAGAACGAGCAGCAGAGACTTGACTCAACTAGCTCAAGTCCCGAACGTTGCACCGTGTCAGGCAAGTGCGCATGAACCTGTGATCAAGAATCATTATGAAAGCCAAAACAAGACCGCTGCACAAAGCTTTACAGTGTAATTGGCAGTGTTGTTAATGTCCGAGGCCCGTGCAACGCGAGCATGCTGCCATTGATCAATTGCTGAAGCTGGAGACGTCTCGCTGATATGTTTCATCACATCTGACCGGTGCAAAAATACGTTCGAACGTGGCATGTACAGGCGTGGGGCAGGGTATCGTTGGCGAGTCATTGTGTCGCGTTCTTAGCCCTCGAAGAATCATAAAACGTTTGCGATAGTATCAATGTAGCTGCTGTTGGCAAGGTCTCGCAAACGTCCGATGCCGAATATCGAGAAGCTCATCAACCTCGAGAGCGGCGCTTATTTGAACTGAAAATTTAACTAAGTGCGAATCAAACCGATTCAAACCACGCTTGTGGAACAGGCTTGCGGCGAGTCGTCTGTCTGCGACTTAGAGTTGCCTGTAAGATGATTTCTGGGGTAGTGCGATTTCTTAGTCTGTGTTCCACAGGCACACGATGTTCCAGTGTGATCCGGACGAACGGAACACTGAGATAACCTGCCACTGAGCTGATCTTTTTCGCGATTAAGCTGCTGACAACAACTCAAATATGTGTCGCTTCATCAGGGAAATCGTTCGGCTTCTGCAAGAAGCAGAGTGTGGCTGATGGAGTCGACCAGACGCACATGCGTCTTTGTTCCTTGGCTGATTAGAAAAATGTTTATTGATGTCAGTTTATCTTAGCTTGTATTTGCATTCAAGGCGACATGATCGCGAAAGGAATGTTCGCCCGCATGCGCAGCAGCAAGAACATCCATGTGTCCGAGGACGCATTTGCATCGGCAGAATTGCATTGATCTGTTTTATTTTTGAAGGAGTCGAGAACATGGAAGAAAATCTCCAGATCCGACTGGTACAGAGGCTTTGCCCGCCAAGGACCTTGAATATAAGGCATTGATTTTTTACAGTATAGTTAGCAAAAGCAAGATCTGATTCACTTTGTGTCGCGTGAGTATTTTCAAAGCACACGTCAATCGTTGTTTTTAGGACGCAACTCTGCCAGATTGCGATGCAAGAAGGAGCGCAAGCTGAACACAGGCGCGGCCATCTCGAGTCCGCAAGCCAAATATTTCATATTGACTCACGCCAGGAGATGTGAAATTCAAAGACGTTTGTCTCGTCGACAGCCTGAGGGCGCATGGGATAAAGGTGGGCTACACCTGCGACGGACCGTTCAAGGCCTTCGCTGATGGAAACAGAATGCTGCAGCCATTTTCGTCGCCAGGCTTGCATTGAATATCTACTTTTCCATAGAAGCTTCATGAATCGTTGCCAAGGAAGTGTTTGAGAACGGTTTCTGCGGACGAGCTGCAAAACATTGGCCGGTACCTGATAGGGCACAATCGTCACTTTTTCGCCGTGAAAGTCGACGAGGACGGCATTCACGTAAATGTCACGCACCGGCGACACCAATGGAGTGAAGTCTGCTTAGCTCCGAAGCTGAAGGCCTCGCGTGTGTCAGAATACCTTTCACGTCGGTGTTACAACCTCGTAGCTTCTAGTTGCGTCAGGTGCCTCATTGGAAAAGCCAGCTTTCTGGGAAAGAATACTTCAATCCGGCAAAGGCAGAAAAAATTTTTCGAATCGAGGCGCGCTATAAAATTCATTATACATTGGTGTCCTCGTTTGTTTATATCTACGCGCCGTAAGGCCGAGCTTCAGACGCAAACTCATCAAGATGAAGCGGACTTCTGCGGATCTGGCTTAGAGATGCTGGCCTGCTCTATGTCCGCTTTGCGTTCTCAATAAATCTATATGTGTGCGCCTTCGTAAATCAACTGCGCATGAGGCCCTGGATGAAGGACGCGCTACGTGACATCGAAGAGGCTGCCGCTCCATTGACATGAGATTATGCTTTCTGGTCCGCTGTCCAGCAAGGGCCAAGCGTTTTCTGCGAGGCTTGTTTGAGTGACATGAAGCGACTTCGTCGAAGTAGACAAGCTCAAGCAGCTGGAAGCTTAGACATGACGAAACCTCAGCGGCCCGCCGTGACTGTTAGCCAAGTTTAAACAGGAATGAAAAAGAACCACTGGGCCTAACGTGTGCACTGTGGTTGGCTTCAAGTTTCACACTGCAGGCCTCTTCCGCAACTTCCGAGAATCAAGGCAGCAAAGACTCCGATCCAGAGGCAGCCGCACATGTCGTTATTTATCAGACACGTGCTGGAGATTCTCGCAAACGTAAGAATTCGCTTGTTCTGATTTTTACACACACGAGGACGCCCATAAGCAGACAGAAGCGAATCTACCTGGCGATGGATCTGCTCTACAGATGCTAGCCCACAATGTATTGTTTTTTTGTTGTAAATTCATTTTCTTTTTGTTTGACATGATGAACAGCTAGACGTGAGGCCCTGGATGATACCTATGCTGCATCGCGTAGAGCAGGCTGGAAGTAGAATGAGACCAGCTGGCGTTTCCTATGAATGGCTTAGCAGTGACCTATATTGCAGTATGTGAGGCCGTCCTAAATGAGGTAAAGACATCTCATGGAGAGGCGGCTGGAAGCTTAGGGAAGCGGCTGTAAGCTTTGGCAAACTGATTTCTTTGGTTAGCTTCACGCGTTGAGACTGGAGGACTCTTGCAGAGATGATGTCCATCAGCCCCAGATTCCAGGCCGCAAAGAACTTGAGCCACAGGCGGGCACGCGCGTCAAAAATAATTTTTCACACATATACTATTTCACATTGTTTTCTTTTAACAGCAGGTGAAGACTCGTGGAAAGTACAAGATTCCGCGTGATTTTGATGTCGTGCCTTTCCTAGAGATCCCGGGATGCTTCATTTTCGATGATGCAAACCTCAAATTCTCCACGCAACATTCCTCGAGGTTAATATGGTGCATTTGATGCTCGCGGATGCTCGCCATGCTCACGCATGCTCACGCAAGTAAGAGCTAAAGCCAACGATTGCTGTACAGTGGAATTCGCTTGGCATAGCGGCCTGCAAGGTGCTTTTTTCTAGACTGCGAGAAAAAAAAGAAAGACATTTCAAAACTGCGAGAAAAAAAAGAAAGACATACGGTTTAGTGTTCAGGGCTATAGGGTTTAGAGTTTAGAGTTTAGAGTTTAGAGTTTAGAGTTTAGAGTTTAGGGTTTAGGGTTTAGGGTTTAGGGTTTAGGGTTTAGGGTTTACGGATTTTAGGGTTTAGGATTTATAGGATATATTCAGAGACTGCAAAAAAACACACATATGCAGAGAGAGAGTTTAAGAGTAGAGCGAGACAGATAAGGAAGGTAGGTATGCAGGCCATGCATGCAGGGTTCCACGCGACAAAAAACATTTACCCCGCAGGCCCCGGCCCTCCAAAAGAAGAAGTTCAAGGAAGGACCCCCGCGGTTGCAGATTCCGCTGTTGATTTTTATGGCCCAAGATGAAGCAGGCACCGGTGCGACCGGTGATCAAAGTTGCCGTGAAAGAAGAGAAGGGGGCAGCCGGCGCAGCCGCACCCAAGGAGAAGAAACCGTCCAGATCTGGCAAATCCGGCTGGCAGGCCTGGAAAGAGAAACGCCAGATCAGAGATAACCTGGAGGAGTCCAAGAAAGACCGAGAACTGGTGTTGCTACGGGTCAAGCTTGAAGCTGCTGAAGATCGGGAGCGAGATTTTTCATCGGGCTCAGCCGACCCGCTGCCGCTGGCAGCACCCGTGGGGCCAGTTGAGGCCGCAGAGCCAGAGCCGACCTTTGCAGACCAGGCCACTCAGGCAACTTCTGCGGTCCAGGATCAAGATACACAAACGCCAGATTGGCGATATCCTGCCTCGTACCTGAGTGGCTTGCGGGTTATCAAAGCCAGGCCGCACTACATCAACGGGTCGCCGCCCAGGGATGCCCCTAGCCCGCACCCCTTTGCCCGCCAGAACCGCAATCGTGCAGAGTCCTTGTCTCCCAGCGCTCGGCCACGGAGGAGTTCAAGCTCAAGGTGGGACCGAAGTGCAAGCTGTTCGATCTACTGATTCGTTCCCACCAAAAAAAGCTTGGATCACATGCCGAATCTTGCAGGTGATCCATGGCTGCTGGACGCAGGGCTGATGCAGAAAGCAGGAGGTGCGACACCCCCCCAATTGTTCTCCAGCTTGTCATTCTTGCGGGCAGACAGCACTGCAGGTATGTTCGCCGTTAACGCTCTGTGTTTTTCTGCTCACACAGTGCACTTTTTAGCTGGTGCCATGAAGTCGAAACGTCTTGTGAAGAAAAAACCCCCAAAGCGGGAAAGACCGGTCTTCAGACCTACTGTTACCAGCCCTGGCCGAATCCCGTTTACGGCTACTGCACCGCTGCCACGATGTTTCGCTGAATTGTCCCCTGGCGCATCTTTACATTTTGGTGTGACAGAGCATTACACTGCCCAAACCCCATCAACAAGTCTTAAGGTTGAATGTGTTTGCAGCTTCGGAGGTGATTGTTTTGGGTTGAGCGCTTCTGGCAGTCTATGCTGTCAAGTCCTTTCGGAATCCCGCTTTGGTGGTTTGTTATCTTGATGCCGCAGGTCCTTTAAATGTTTGTTTTGTGTAGGGCTTGGGCGCAACACGCGGTCTTGGTGACTTCACTTTTGGACATCCCTAACACTTTCCAAAAAACCTTTGCCCAGGCTTGAGATCCTGATCTTGGCTGGACTCCCCTACTCCGTCTTGCACGTCTGCGAGAAAGTCATGCAGCAGATGACCCGACCAGATGTCGAAGCTTGTGCGCAGCTGGTGTCTCATGAGGGGGTGCAGCGCAGTGTTGTTTTGAGCTTGGGCAAATCTTAGGGGCTGCACTGTGTGGAGAAGTTCGCAGGAGTGAAAACGATCACTTCAGCTTTCAGGCACCTTACTTGTGTGTGTGTGTGCGTGTGTTTGCGTGTGTTTGTGTGTGTTTGTTGGCAGGAAATAGAGTTGAGATATGTGCTGCCACCGGCAGTCCAGGAGTATGGGAGCAGCATCTGCGTCGTTTGAAGTACAAGATGCTGTGGAACAAGATATCCTAACGGGTATTGGATTCTGCTTCGGACTGGCCCTGACGCTGAGACTTTTCAAGTATGCTCCTTGGTTGCATACCATATATGCATGAGCTGGTTATTCTTCTTGAGTGTGCGATCTGGCTACATTGCACCGCAAGGCTGGCTTGAACTGGGAAGCCCCGGTCTGCAGCAGTTGGGTATGGATAAACAGGCCCATGTTTGTAGCACTGTGTTTGCTGCCTCCAAGACCACATGTGCTGTTTGCAGGGGATCCTCGCGACGATCACGGGCCGAGCCGTTGGGAGATACTTCTCTCTTGGGTGTGAAATCTGCGAGACTTTGCTGCAAGTATATACGTATGAGTGCTCTGCGCATGACGGGTGCCATGAGTCGAGTCTTTGGCAAGTGCTTACTAGTGCTTACATGTGCTCCAGCTGCTTCAAGCTCTCGAGCTTGCTGGTCCGTTTGGTTTTGGGTCCGATGTCCGTCGACGGGGAATCGGAGGCATGTGCCCAGCATTTGCTGGGATTGAAGGAGCTCGGCCAAGATATTGCTGAGGCAATGCCATCCGACTTGGAGGCACGAGTCTGCACGGCTCTAGGTGAAGAGCAGCGACGTGAACTTATTGATCCGCTGCAGACGAAGAACCCGGAGTGTGATGTGAAACTTTACTAAATCACCAGAGCTTTCTTGAAGTATGTGTAGTTTCAATGGTTGCTGCTCGCAGAATGTCTGTTTCTGTTGCTTCCCTTAAATTGCCCGCAGATCCTCAGGAAGGCAAACCACTGGCTTCTTCGGGCCCTGCTACAGTTCCCTGAGTTTCAACACCGAGCTCCCTCACCCACCGAAGCCCAAGTTCTCTTGGAGAGTCTGAACGAGCAAAAGAAGGTGTGGCTAGAAATGGACAGAGATTGTTTGTCTATATGACTCACTCCTTGCTGCTCTACACAGATGTATATATATATATATATATATATAAAGCAGCAATGAGTGAGTCATTTCGACAAACCATCTCTGTGCATTCTACCCTGTTCCCCATAACGTGTGCAGGGACTGGCCATTCGACACATTGAGAATGGCAACGCTACTCCTGCTACGTGGCTGCAATAAAGAGCTCACGATTTCAGCTTGTGTGTTACATTGTTGTGCTGGGTTTTGTTTTCGTTTGGAATGCGCGGCATAGTTTTATTAAGGCTGCCGAGATGGACTATGAAGCCCAGGGCTATCGGCTACGGAAACTTTGGAGCCGAATGCGAAAGATTTGGTCGAACTCCCGCAGCTCCTCGAGGTCCCCCCTGATTCAGGAGTTAAAGGACCTGATGAAGCCTGCAGCTTCTTGCTTGGATACTTGACCTCCCACTAGATACCCCCCCACTAGCCCCAGTCGCGGAATTGTTATATGTAGATGCCTCGTGTGCCAGGTGCCCGTTGCCCCACTTGTTTTTGTCCCATGGTTGTGGCCTTTGGAATCGAGGAGGGTTTGGAATCTTCTGGGGCTTGTTTTGTTTTAGAATTGCAAGGATGGTTGTAAATGGTACGTCAACGTGAATGCAGTGTGAGGAGGGATGTGTTGTGTGAGTCAAATGCAAGGAGAGGTCCAGATCTTTGAAGACCATGAAAAGAAAAGGGATTTTGGTTCGATCATCTAAGGTCAAAACCAGGAGGGATTCACTGGCCAGCACGGAGCCAGGACACGGCGAGGCCGAGGAGGCTGAGCATGCAGAGAACGTGGCGGTAGATCCGCCCCTATACATGAGTGGCTCGGGCAGTGAAGGTGAGGGAGATTGGCTTGCAGCCACACCCCCAGGCATCAGTAGCATGCCGGACATTGACAAAGAAGGTGGAGGAGATCGGACGCCGCCTCCCCTCGATGGTTCGGACAGCAATAGTGGTAGTGAATGCTCCGCTTTCGACTCGAGCGACATTTCCAGTGGGTCCACAGAGGATCGGCCTGCGCGTGCCCCTGCCAGCCCTGCGGGATCCGCCGCAGACACCGAGGATGCATGGATCGCAATGCAGCTGCAGCAGCTGAAGGACTTACCGTTCGACGTGGATGCCTCACCGGTGGCGTTTGATGTCGAAACACTATAGAGCTTGGCGTGTTCTTTCTGTGGTTACAGTGTTGTTCCAGGGCTGTAGGAGTGTGACACTGCATGTGTGAGGAGGCCCCGGGTCGACGACTGATGCCTCATGTGTCTGTCGACAGCGATGAGACTTTGATCCTCGGGCATGGGGATCCCAGGAACCGTGAGCAGCTGGCAGCACTTTTGCCAGATATGGTGGAAGGTTTCAATGAAAGGATGTCAGCGCTGATGCAAAGCCCGGGGGAGATCCCAATCCCAGAAGGCAAGCTTTAGGTCGATTCATGTTATGGTTGCACAACCAAAAACATGTCGTTGCCAGAATGCATGTGCTTGGCGCTATAGGCCCCGAGCGAAAGAAAACCAAGAAGGAAGGAAGCTCTGCTGCCAAAAAAAAGGCAAGCAAGAGAAATCGCAAGATGCATCGGAAGAAGGACATGAAGGACAAGGAAGGAAGCAAGCACGAGGACGAGAAGGAATTGTCGCACGGAGAAAAGGAGCTTGAGGAAGGCAGTGAGGAGCCGAAAAGCCCAGTCCCTGACCTCAAGCGCAAGGGTTTCTTGGCTGAAATATATTTGCATCCTCAGACGTATAAATACAAAATGTATATGGACAGCTTTACCCAGAATCATAGACATTGGCATCAAAGGTGCCTTTGAGTTGGAGGATGAGGATGCGCCCGTGCTGGACAGTGCCCAAGCATGCTGCCCCAAGGAGCTACCGAGCGACGTTCTGGAATCGTTCGACGAGGCCTATCGTGCAAATGTGCGAAGGCTCCCGTACGTGCTGCAGCCAGACAGTGTGCATCATGGAAAGCACTCCTTCACGAAGAGCCTTGGCACTGATGTGTTGGTAGCTTCTACATGCAAGTTGTGTTCTGCTATGGACTATGGAGCACATGTGATGACAACGAAAAGCGCTGCATGAGGACTTTGAAGGACTCCCATGACAAGATCCACAGAGTGGAGGTGTTGCTCCGACAGCAAGCCTTCAAGCCCAAGACAGATGGTGTTAAGGCGTCCTCGAGCCTCAGGCAGCACTTAAGTGTGAAGCTGCAGGCTGCAGTGACCGATTTTGGAGCAATATATTTAAGTTCACCTGTTGTTTGGCGAGGATTTCGTGGAAGAACCAGCCCATGCATGAAGCGTTTGCAAAGCTCATGCTGCATCTCGACAAGACGGGGGCCAAGTGCCGCGAGCAAGAGCGCGAACCTCACCAGGATTCCCCTGCCGAGTGAAGCAGCAGCCGAAGCCACATTGATGGCTCGGAGTTTTTACAGGGAATTTTGTGTAGGCCAAACCCTAGCTCGGCAGCCGCAACTTGCAGGCTGAAGCATGCTGCGCTTTAGGAAGCATGTCTTGGAACATGCGACGAAATCTTAGAAGTTGTGCGATAGTCTCGGATCGCTGGAGCTTTCAATGTCTCAAGCTCGAAAAAGCATGAGTGAGTTTGATGCGAGCTCTACAGAACCATCGTTTGTTCTGGGTTCTATTTGGTGCTTCTTTTGCAAGCACATCTCAGGAACCTGATGGTGGGGCGAGTATGCTTCTACCTCCACATCCTCCTGGAACTCGGTATACCATGGTGCTTAGAGCAACCGGCCTCCTCCCTTCTGGAAACCCACCCGATGTTCGTTTATCTGGCCAGCAAGTATCGCATCTTCAAGGCAACATGAAAGCACTGAAGTATGCCACTGGCTTGTCTGTGTTTGCATGGAAAGTGTAGGTAAGCGAAACAAAGAGAGTGGTGTTGAAAATCTTGAGAGATTTTCCTAAGAGGGAGAGGGAGAGGGAGAGGGAGAGGGGGAGGGGGAGGGAGAGAGGGAGAGGGAGAGGGAGAGGGAGAGAGAGGGAAGGGAGTCCCTGTCTGTCTGTGTGTGTGTGTGTGTCTGTGTTTGCTGCCGGGTTCAATGAGCTGTGAGGTATTTATGTGGATGGGTTCATACGGCGCGTCTTGTCTGGACCTTACCTTCTTGCACGGCAAGATATCCACGCAGGCTGTGGAGCCAAGAGCTGATCACAGAGTTTTCATTCACCGGAGGCCCGAAACCAAGTCTCATATACAGCAACTACAAGTTCATCAGCGAGTTGTACCTCCCGCTTCCGCAGGGCAAGCAATGGTCTGATGAGATAGTCACCAGGTATCCTGCAGTAACATTAAGTCTGCCGTTCAAGCCTAAACCCCAAACCCTAAACGTCTGAGTGTGAACGATTAAACCTGCTGAGCCAAGGAAAAAAACAACAACGGGCGACGAGAAGGTCTATGGTGGATCCGAGATGAAAGTCTCACAACATTATCCTTCCCGATTCGGATTAGCTGTCTGTGAGATGTACATGCGTCACCAGGACAGGAAACGAGCGACTTAGGGTCTTGCATTGCGAAACAAATCCGAAAACGAAACTTGTGCTTTGCGCAGCAGCAAGCTGATCAGGAAGAGATTCTGGCAACCGTGGAAGCCAGGAAGTGTTCTGGAAGCATGGGCAATTTTAGACCGCGTTGCGTTTTACATCGTGTTTTTTTGCCGTGTGCAACAAAGGCAAGAGCTCCGAGCCCATGGACCGCGAAAACAGATGCGCGTGTCTGGCCTGCACTTAAAGAAGACAGCCAGGTTCAAACTTAAGATCCAGGATATAGGGGAGTTGTACGTGTGCTTCGTTATTGCAGTGTCAATCAAATTTGGAGGTTTAATTGGGTGTGGATGATCGAATCTCTGTGTGAATCAAAGGTGATTCCGGGCTTTATAGACCCGGGCATTAAGAACAAATATATATATATATATATACATATATATACTTATATATATGTATATGCTTCTTTATATATATATATATATAAAGAACCTATATATATATACTTAAGAAATATATATATATATATATACATAAATATATACATATAAAGATATGTATTTATATATGTATATATATATATATATAGATATATTTATTTATATTGATTTATATGTGTATCTATATATATCTGTCAATACGTATATATATATATATATATATATACGTACTTAACTGTGAGTTTATCGGGGTTTATCGCGTTTATCGGGTTTATCGCGTGTCGAGGTGTGTCTTTTTTCGTGGGTTTATCGCGTTTATCGGGTTTATCGCGTGTCGAGGTGCCGGTTTTTATCGGGTTTATCGCATTTATCGGGTTTATCGCGGGTCGGTTTATCGCATTTATCGGGTTTATCGGGTTTATCGCGTCCCCGGTGTCGGGCTTATCGGGCTTATCGGGTTTGCCGCGTTTATCGCAGGGATTGTTTTTCTTTAAGCTTCGGGTCGCTATTCTTGTGTGGACGTATCATTTGCTTGCAAGCCCAGGACCCTGGCTGGACTCGCTCTGCCGGGCTGAGACAAGCTATTGCAGCGCTGGTCTGAATTACCTTTAGCAGGCTCCTGGTGCACTGCCATACATGCCTCGAGTTCTGGCTATAGCCTGCTGGGTGTGTTGGTGTTTTGGTGCGGTTCTTTCTCGTTTTTTTTTGTTTTTTTTTCAATTTTTTCAATTTTTTAATTTTTTTTTTAGATTTTTCAAGTTTTTTTTTAAAAAAGCAAAACCCGATAAACCGATAAAAAAGCGAGAAATCCGCGAGAAAAGCCGATAAAGTTTATCGGTTTATTGGATCTCCACAAATTTACAAGTTTTTTTCAAAAAAGCACGGGCCTCAACCAGAAAAAAAGCAATAAGGAACCGATACTTCCAAGAAATCTGCGAGTGCTGCCAGGAGACGGCATGCATGCATGTTTCAGTGCCTACAAGGCAAGCTGTTGGTGCACAGGAGCCTTCAATTCGAGATGATGCTGTGTGTTTCTGTGTGGTTTGCACACACACATTGCAGCCCGAGTTAGAAAATCGGTGCTCTTCGTGCATAAGGGAGGATCATGTCGCATGCCCCAGATATTGGTTTGCTTTTACATCTTGGACACGTCAGCATTTTCCTGATCGAAGTTTGTGTGTGTGTGCTGTTGCAGTGCACCGGCAATGGCCTCGGAGGATGCCTCCCGGCCACCCAAGAAACGTGTGATGGGTAAGACGCCAAACGAAGAGGCTCTGAGGAGCCCAGTGAAGCAGAAGAGGCCCCGAGGCAGCCCGGTGAAGAAGAAATGGCCCGTGAATGCTGCCAAGCTGAAGAAGCTTGCCAAGCAGAGAGAAAAGAATCAATCACCGAAGCATCGGCCGACTACTTGCTCGACCCCGGAGCCAGTCCTGAAGAAGAACCACGATGGTGAAGAAAAGAAAGGAGCCGGGGCCAACCCAAAGGTTACTTTCAAGGACAAGGACGACGTCGTTTTTTGCACCCCTCCCAGAAGGAAGAAGCGATCAGCTGGCAGCCCCGCGGGCAGCCCGGCAATGTCGCTCGACAAGGCCGAGGCGATTTTAAGTGGTATGAAGTGCAGCAAGAAGAAGCCTGCAGTTCCGGAATCTTCTTCGGAGCCGGAGGCCATCGTTTTGTTATTGTGGCTCTTGACACGTTTGCTTCAATCATCTTTGTTGTGAACCATTATAATTGTGGCTCCCGTATATGTCTCTGACTGCAGGAAGCCGACGCCGAAAGTTCTGACTCCGACGCCCCGACCGAGAATCAGAAGGCAGTCTCTGCAGGCGAAGAAGCTGCAGACGAAGAAGCTGCAGACGAAGAAGCCGCAGACGAAGAAACCGCAGGCGAAGAAACCGCAGGCGAAGAAACCGCAGACGAAGAAGCCTCCGAAGTAGAAGAAGCCTCCGAAGTAGAAGAAGCCACAGAGGGAAACGAGAAGCCAGAGCAAGAGGGAAGTGAGAGCGCAGACGAAGAGGACGAGGAACAGTGCGAGGCAGAGGACGAAGACGAAGACGAAGATGACGAGCAGGCCGAAGAGGAGCTGAGTCATGATGGCTCAAAGGATAGTGACGATGATGACGAGGATGCGGGTGCCTCGAGCTCTGAAAAGGAGGCAAGCAGCCCGAAGACCACAAGTAACAAGGACAGCAGCCGAAGCAAGCCCGAGAAGAAGGATGGCAAAGCAGCAAAGACCCAAAAGGATGAGAAGCCGGAGAAGCAGCAGTCAAGCAAGAAGAAGCCAGCTGACGAGCCCGACTCCAGCAACACGGAAAATGGAAAGCAAAAGAAGAAAGGCACGAAGGACGACGATGACCAGCACGGAACAAGCACGAGGAAGCAGAAGCCCGACACCGCGCCGGTTGAGAAGCAGGCAGACAACAACCGCAAGCAGGCAAAGGAAGAGGAGAAGAGGAAGCAGAAGCCCAACAGCACGTCGGTTGAGAAGCAGGAAGACAAGAGCCGGCGGCAGGCAAAGGAAGAGGAGAATAAGAGGAAGCAGAAGCCCAACAGCACGCCGGTTGAGACGGAGGCAGACAACAACCGCAAGCAGGCAGAGGAGGAGAAGAGGAAGCAGGAGCTCAACAGCACGCCGGTTGAGAAGGAGGCAGACAACCGCAAGCAGGCAAAGGAGGAGGAGAAGAGGAAGCAGAAGCCCAACAGCACGCCGGTTGAGAAGGAGGCAGACGATCCCCAGAAGGAAAAGGACAAGAAGAAGAAGAAGCGCAAACGTGACGGAAGTCGGCGTGAACCCAGCCAGCCAAGCAAGCCACCAGCGGCTGTCGAGGAGGTTAAACCCGGCAAGGACAAGAAGAAGACGCCAGAGGCCTCAAAGTTGCACGATGCCGAGAAAGGCTTACCCGTCAACAGCAACACCCATCACAAGGAGTACCTACGCTACGGACGTTGGTTGAAGAACAAAAAACGATTCCCTCAAGCCCTCGCAACGCGCATTCAAGACGAAGACAGCCGCATGAAACTGTTTGCTGACTATGTGGAGGCAGGAGGCGATGTGAATCAAATCTTGTTCAAGCATGAGCAGAAACTGAAGGAGCAGCAGAGAAGCAGCATCAAGTACGGATTTCGATCCGAAAAATGGATTCGCGAAACTCACGGGGATGCTAAAGCGGTGAACATCATGAAACGCAAGGTCGACCAGGGCTTGAAGCACGGACAAAACATAGCAGACCCCTATCCTGTTTTTGTGTAATACCCTCGTGTTCGTCCTGTTTTTGTGTAATACCCTCATGCTCGAACCTTCCTGCGTGCTGGATAATTAAGGACAGTCGCTGATCCTGAAGCACCAGACACGGATTTGCTGTACTTTGTGTTCATCGAAATAAACATCGACGATATCCGGGAGCTCCAAAAGATCACGAAACTGGAAGTGCAGGGTTCGATAGACGAAGCGACGCTCAAGGCCTTTACAGAGGCCGAGAGTAAAACAAAAAACATCGACAAACATTTCCATGCCATCATGTGTACACTAGTAAAGAATGAATGATTGGCTGTGATGAGGCCGGTGGTGTGTTGGATCCCAGCAAGCACCAGCTCAACTTGGGTGGCGGGGCTACAGCGCAGGGCATGGCCAACGCTTTGAGGTTGACCGGCGGGCTTAGTGCTTGCTCAAAGAAGAAGCCCAAGACGAAAGGAAAGGCGAGCCAGGATGGTAAGAGCAAAGCCAAGGAGGTAGGACACGAAGATAATGCCACATACACCTTGATGACTTTACGGCTTCGTTTCTATGTTTCTTTGGCAGGTGGTGCCGGACAGCCCGCTGAGCCTGGCGAAGACCTTGCTGACCTCTGTGCTCAGGGACAAGAATGCTTGCAGGTGCTTTCTGCTGCGTGTCATGTTGTTGTTCGTTGGAAGTAAATTGTCGTTTGTTTGCCCCGACTCTTGTTTGCTTGAAGGGATCACGCTTTCAAGCTGAAGCCCTTGAACCTTTCATCGGCGTTGATCGATCAGCTGCTGGCTTTGGAGAAGATTCTCTCAAAAAAGGCAACGTGGCTTGCATTACACAATCAATACATGTCGCCGTGTTCCGTTGCATTTTCTTGCAAACGATTCACATTGCCAGGCCAGCAAGCTTCAGGACCTCATCTCGGCCAGCAAGACCAAAGCCAAGCACTACGGAACCATCACCAACGAGGCACACACGAAATTCAGTATCGATCAATGAAGATTTATGTTCCAACAGCGCCACCCTGACAGATCAGCGAGCTCCGGGACACCACCAAGGAGCGAATCGATTTGGCAAAGGCTTTGATCAGGGCCAGCGAGAAGAAACCAAAGAAGGGATCTGAGGGCAAAAGCGAGCCGAGCAAGAAATCCTGAAAGGATGCACCGGCCCGCTGCTGTTTTTGAACCTATGCTCTAAGCTGTCCTAGAGTCGTTGCCTTTAGGGGACACTGTGAGTTGCCGTGCCGAAAATCCCGAGGGAGTAAACACTCAACACCTGCAGGCATGCTCCGTAACATGTTGATGTCTGGTGGGGCAATTCATAAAGCAGTGTCTAGGGTGGCAATCGCCAGCGAGGGGCTGGGCTTACAGCTTAAGTCCTCAGACGATCGATGGTCGCTACGCATCAGCGCTGCTGTGCTCCAAAACGAACCCTGATTTCAGAGCTCTGACGTTTCATACCATGACAAGCGAGCACTTTCAAAATAGATGATTGTTATAGTTCGAAATGAATCGAACGCAGGGTCCGATCGAGATCGCGGTCACGGGTGCGTATTGGTGCCGAGATTGCATTCGTTTCTTTGTGTGAAGCTTGCTTGCAATACGACCTTTTGACTCGACGCTTCTGCTGAGTGTCCGAGGCTATTTCAATGATGGTACTGATCTGCAATCTGGAAACCGATTCTCAGGTCAGGGGTGCTTTGCAGCATGCCAATGCCTGTTGTGTTGCTGAAAACATCCATGCGCTGGTGTCTTTACGTGGCTCGAGGCCGCGAGGTGGTGGACAAGGCCAGTCATTCATCACGACGCATTCTACGAGAGATTTGCTCAGGCGCAACTCGGCTCATATATGTGTAGGTGTGTGTGTGTGTGTGTTTTTCACTTGCTGGCTTTGTTTCAGATCGTTTGAGTTGCTTGAACATACCTGGCTGCTTTGAAACTTAGAAGCTGGCTGCTGCAGCTGGTGTTTCCCAAGCACATGACCTTGTTCTGGATGGTACTACATGTCCGCTGGCCAAGCGTCTCGATGGCTTTTCTCGAGGGCATGAAGAGCGCAGCTTTCAAAGGATCGGTGTGTTTTGACACAAAGCTTTTGCAGTTGGCTGGTTTTGCTTCCCGGGGTTCTTAGGCTTAAGTGTGCCCTGAAGATGGTATTCGAGCATCGCCGAAATACCCCCTGGTTTTGTGGAACTTCCTTTGCGTGTCCCTCAACCCGACGGTGGCATAAAAAAGACTGTGAAGTCTACTGCCATAAACTGGCCTTGGGATATGTTGAACTGGCTGCATGTGCACGACAAGCTTTTCTCATGGGCCTCCAACAATACGGACAAAGTTTCTCAGGAGGCCAAAGAATACTGGGATCGTCTTTCGGGCGAAGAAAGCGTGCAAATGCTACAGCTCGAAGAGCCTGAAAGGACGTTGCCTGTCTACTGGCACGCGGATGGAGTTCGTGTTTACAAGCAGCAGAAGTGTTGGATATACTCTTTTGGATGTGCCTTGAAGAAGGGTCCATCCTTGTCCTCCAAGTTATTCATGCTGCTGGTCAGGGAAAACCTTGTGTGGAAGCCGTTTACTCACGATCGCATTGCTGAGTTGATCGGCTGGATACAAGGTGTGCTGCAGCGAGGTGTGTTTCCAGAACACGACTTCGAAGGCAATGCCTGGCCACGTGGGTCGCCCGAAGCTGAGAAAGCGAACCGCCCTTTTGCCGGTGGCTACAAACTGGCCTTCAGTGGTTTCAAGGGGGATTGGGAAGCGAGAGTCTTGCTGCACAAGCTGCCACGCTCATACAATCACAATTATATTTGTGAACACTGCCCAGCTTCTAAGCTGAGCGGTGCTTTCAACTATCGCAACTTTGCTCCCGACGCACCGTACCTCCAGGCTCAGTTTACACACAACCAATACCTGCTCATGACACCGCCAGAGCTACGATCCAGCTGGACGCATGTGCCTGGCTGGACAAAAGACAGAAACCTCGAAGTGCCTTGTCTTTTTTTCGTGTATTGTCTCTATACTGTTTAGTTTCGGTGCTTTCCAAATTAGAGGGATGAATTTCTATTGTCTCTATACTGTTTAGTTTCGGCACTTTCTAAATTGGAGAAATGAATTTTGGGTGTGAGGACCTCCTTCATGTACTACATCAAGGTGTGGCGTGCTGCGTTATACCGGCACTTGTGTGTGCTCACTTGGAAGAAAAGTTCGGTGACGCGTTGACATTGAAGAAGCTGGACGAAGAGTTGCAGGGATCCGTTTGGAAACATTACAAATCCTGGTGTGTTCGAACGAACGCCACAAGCTGTGGCCACCGATTCAGTTCGATTCGTTTTGGGCGGGAAAGTTGGAAGTACTCTCCTGAATTGGCTTCTTGTTACAAGGCATACACCGTGAAGATGATGATGTACTGGGTGCATGCCTTTATGTCTGATGTGGCGCAGGAGACGGCCGGTGGACCCGAGCGTGCGCGGCTGTCCTACGCCTTCGCACAAGTGCAGTGGTGTTTCGATAGCAGCGGGCCTTGGTTGAGCGACTTTGTGCGGGATCGTTCGGTGAAGCTTGGCTGGGCTTTTTTGATGATGTATCAGTGCATGAGTGCGGGAAACATGACATCCGCCAAGCGCAATTTCAAGATAGTTCCGAAGTTTCATTCGTACCTGCACCTTCTATTGTATGTCCAAAGGACATCGCGAAACCCGAGGCCGGCAGGTGCATCAATGAGCATAGTTCTTGAACCTTTAACTTTAGCCCACCCACCCCCCAACCCCCCCCCCCCCCGCCCCAAGGCCTTATAACCCATACATTTCCGCATAACCTCAAGCCCAAGCGAAAAAAAAACCCTGAGGTGGGACCATTGCTATCAGGACGAGGACCTGATGAAACAGCTGGGTCACATCGCTTCCTCCACCCACCCGAACACGATGGATAGTGTCACGTGCAATCGCTACAGAGCGTTGCTCGAGTATGGTGGCATCTTTTGATGCTGAAGCAATATGAAAAGGGAATGGTCTTTAGGACATATGGGATTCCTCACTCGCTCGTTTCTTCCAATTACAATTACTTCCCAGCCCGAAACAAAATCCATTCTGGGTTGGGAGTTACTTTGGGAGGATTGTGATTGAGTCTTTTGAAGGCTTGGTGGTTTTCTTTGGAAGGATGTTGCGGTGTTGCAAGTGTATGTTTTTAAGGTTCCGTGTTTGTTTGCGTCGGAGGGCGTCTGGAGGGTTCAAAGGGGCTCCAGGAGGAGCTGATGTTTCTTAGTTGAAGCCGACCCTTTGGTTGACGTGCCGAGGTGTAGGCCCGAAAAGTAAAACTCAAACCTTAAACCCAAGAGCCCCCTTTGAACTTTAAACCCCAGGCCCCAGGCCTTCGGGAACAAAAAGCACGTGTAGAGGTGAACCAGAGGGTTGTGGTTGAAAGGGTGAAGATATGTAAGCTTCTTTAAAAATGTGACTCAAGGCTTTGTTTGGGTGAACCAAAGGCTTCTTGTTTATATGTTATAGATATATATGTCTTTTTGTATATGTGGCTCAAGACTTCTTCGCTTTGCGACAGAGGTTGGAAATAATCCGTTGAATTTGCTGGAAGCTTGCATTTTGTGTCAAGGCAAAATATTGTTGCTCCTCACTGACAATACCATTGGTAGCAGAAAGCGAACCCCTGTAAAGGAAGCGCGCGCCCAGGCGCGCCCAGCGCGCCCAGGCGCGCGGGGCGCGCCCAGGCGCGCACATCCTCCTAGGCACGCAAGTCGACCAATTCACACGCAAGACAAAATAATTAAGAAAAAAGAACCAACCAGTTTCTTATAATGAAATTGGTTCGAATGTTTCTTCGAAGCTAATGTCTTATTTTGCGTGTCAGGTCATCCCAATTGCGTGAGAATTGCGTGAAGAGAAAAGTGCACGCCCGGCGAGGTCATCCCAATTGCGTGAGCATTGCGTGAAGAGAAAAGCGCTGGATCCACTTGCACACGCAGTTCAACAAATTGAAACTCTTGTCTTCTGAAAAAAACAATCACGTGTATATCTAATGGAGATTAGTTCGATGTAATTTTCGTAACGATTTCCTTTTGCGTGTGAATTCATCCCTTTGCGTGTGAATTCATCAAGTACATGGGCCCGCGCGCCCGGGCGCGCGGGCGCGCGCCCGGGCGCGCGGGGGCGCGCCCGGGCGCGCGCCCGCACTTATCCAGGTACACATCATGACATCAAACGAAATTTTCGCAAAGTCAAAGAAGTTAATGGACACTAGAGAAACAAATCCAATCGATCCTGAACATGTTTATGTCCGCTTCTTCTTTGTGCAGCATGTTGCTTCATGTCTGAGAACCCTTCTTGCATTTCACCAACATGCCCTTTAATTCGGGCTTGATCTCCAAATGCTCATCATGCTTGGATGCTTTCACAACAATCATTCGCGTGCGCATCACTCATTTTGGATCATGTGGGCTCTCTAGGTTGGCTACGCATCTGGAATGGAGCAGAAGTGCAGACGAAGTGCACAAGGTTGTTCGTCGACGTGAAGGAATGTCAGCTTCAGAGCCAGAAACTCCTAGCAATACAAATGGTCGACGTCTTCATGCCTGGAAAATGTCGTCAGAGCATCCGCTGTTGCGGAAATTAGGCTTTCGTGGAGACTTCCCAGGAGCATTCGTGTATTGCCCTGTTTTGCAGACGGTTTTTTGGGCCGACCACTGCAGAGATGCCTGGAAGATGTTCCGTGAAGTCGAATGCATCTTGCGAGAAAGGACACCTTGCTTCATAGCCAAGCAAATCTATCACGTCAGTTTTAAAATGAATTCATGAACAAGATCCTGGCAGGACTTCCGAAACAGCTTCCGCTTCTTCTTTTTCTTCTTCCTCCTCCTCGCAAAGAATGCAGACGCTTAGCTTTTGCGGCATGTGGGCTACGAAGACTGCTTGTAGGCGCTCCAAAGCAGCAAGTTTGACCTCAGTTTATGTCTGTGAGGACAAATCCGGACATTGCTGCGTCGCCTGCTTCTACCTCGTGTCCCGACAAAAGCAAGTCCAGGCAGAAGTATTTATTTCACTGTACGCTTGACTTAAAGCAAGTCGCTATGCGTTTATGTATTCATGTGTTCGTCGTGACACACACACACGCTTCACTTGTTCTAGCCAGCGTATAAGCTTCCTGTCGAGATGGGCGCGACGTCACATCGCTGGCCAAAATCCCGGCGAGACAAGGCGGCAATCTCAAGGCGCCAGCCATCAGCGACTAATCTGTTTAAGTTTTTTATCGATTCTAGAAAATGTTGCCCATTCTTTTGCTATCAACAATCGAACCATTTTGCTATCAACAATCGAATCTGCTTAAGTGTCTTAGTTCACTCAGGCCTGAAGATGATCGTGTTCGGACTCGGCGCTGGGGTCGTCCTAAAATCGGCTCAGCTTCAGCGCAATATGAAGTTGGCGCAGTGGCAAGTCCAGATCTTATGCAACCCTCTCCCGTACGACTTCCCCAGCTGGACTTGCTGGAGCATATCGCCCAGTGTGCTGAAGAGGATTATGAAGGCGGCTCCAAGCTACCGCCAGAGGTTTTATATTCTTTGCCTGGGCAGCTTATTTCTTACGAGTATTTGCATGCTTTGGCTTGCGTGTCCAGAGGAATGTTTCATGCAGTCAGAGACGACAAGAACTGGCAAGACAAAACAATTTACTTGACACGCTCAGACATCGAGGACAGTGCGGACAGGCTTCGCCGCGTCGCATGCGGCCTCCTGTCATCTGCCAAGCAAGTATGCGTCCGAGTCAGGAACATTGCAATGCTTCATCCTCTTCCTGAAAACATCAGGATTGATTGGAAGCCATCATTCTTTCAGCCGCGAGGATTATCCAACTTTCTATTTGGTGCTCAGTCCGAGGAACCCTTGCTGGGTTGCGCTGAATTTCAGATTTTCTTGTCTTCTTGCGTGTCCGGCTTATACGTGGGAGCCCAAGACCCTCATAGCCAGAATCGCACGTACTGCAGGATTGACAACTTATTCAAAGAGAGCATCACTTGGTCGATCGGCACGGAACGTGCCTTGCCGACCCCAAGCGCGTGCCGGCAGGAACCAGTTCCGAACGCTGTGAATACGTTTGGAATGCAGTGGACAGCAAACACTTTCGCTCTACAACTCAATGGAGTGGTGGTGCTGAGGGCCAACCTGGCAACGGTGGAGTTTGATTCAGCGCCGGTTGTGGCCAAGTTTTTTCTGTGGGCCTTCGGACGAGTTAACGACGCAGAGAATGTGATGTGGCTCAATGCCATCCCAGCGCCTGTGCTTATTTCTGCGAGCGTGGAGTGCGCCATCTGCGGCGAGAACGAAGAATTTCATGTTCTGATTGGCGTGTGTGTCCTCTGTGCGTGACTTGGGTCTGCAGCAGTCATATTCGCCGGAATCCGGAAAGGCTTTGTCCACATTGCGTTCAGCAACTTCAGGACTTCGTTGGTGGAAGTAGTTCCAATGAGTCACAGGGCTGCGTGCAAATTGCCCGTGACGCTAGCAGCCTGCCATCTGAAGTCTTGAAGACCCTGTTGACGTTTTTTTTTGACTACACTGACTTTCACGTTATGGCCACTTGCTGCAAAGATATCCGCAACACAATCGCAAGTAAGCTATATTGGCATGCTCGCCACATCAACCTCGCTGTCCCAGAGCTTGCGCGAAACATTCGTGCTCTGCGGAACGCTGCAGATCTCTTTGAAAGCTCTGCCTCCATGTCGATGGACATTCCACAGTTGGCTTGTCTTCTGAACATTCCGGCTCAGACTATTATCTATTGGAGATGTCAGCAGCTCCGCCTACCAGGCCACGGTGCACAGGCGTGGAGTTCGCCTCATTGTCTGTTTGGCAACGCCCGGTTTTGTATGAGGATATATGCAACAACGAAGGCGATTTACTTCGGTGCGAAGGCTCTGGACACCAACAGACGTTGGTATGTCCGCATCGAAGATCCTGGCCGGGAAACCTGCCGGTATTACATGGGAGTGACTGGCAGTCCTGCTGTCGAATGCCCCAAGCATCGACTTGTCAGGGCTATTGGCGCATCTTCGTCGGCTCATGTTTTTCATTTGCGGTGGCAGCCTCGTGAAATGGAATTGACGCTAAACGGCTTTGCGCTTGGACGTGTGGTTCTCAGAAACGAAGTACCCGACGCTCCGCTTGCCTTCTCTCCAGTATTCATTTGGATTCTCTCCACGTCATTTGTTCAAGAAGACTCGCGCGTCACTCCGTTGCTGACACCTATTACAACCAGTGGTACTCGAATCAAGCTGCTTATCTGAACATAGGAAAACTTTAGTAGCTTTCTGAACAAAGACTGCCGTAATGTAACTGAATTATTTTCAAGGTGCGATTTCTGCGGCGAGTGGAAGCCGCTGCTGCTGCCACATTGGTGCGTTTGCCCTGCTTGTCGTGTTTGGGTCTGCGCTCCTCACGTGGGCACTATGCCTTGGAGGTGGTGTCCTTCTTGTGAACGAATTCGCTTTCAGGATTTTGTGGGTGGCTCGCGCGAAGAAGGCTTTCAGGATTTTGTGGGTGGCTCGCGCGAGGAAGCTGAAATGACACAACTTCAGCGCAAACGTTGGGCGCAGTCGAAGTTAGCAGCTTATGCTCGCAAAGCCAAGCGTGTGGCTGCTATGGACGGATTTTTGCCGAAACATTGTGAAGCAGAAAGTCTGGTCAACGTTCCAAGATCTCCTGATTTATTTTCTTCCGACACAGCTCTCGATGTGGACATACTGAAGTATTTGCATCCACACGACCGAGACCTGCGTGTTCAGTTTTTCTCCAAAGAGCACGTGTACTTCGTGGACAAGAAAAAGGTCAGGGGCTCGGTGACTGGAGTTGTGCACACGTTTGCAGAAAGCTTCGACGCCGACTCCGTTATCGGTGGCATGCAGCGCAGCGCCAATTGGCCTCGGGTTGGCTATCTGCGACAGCATGTCACGTTCGATGACATTCAGCCGCTTCACATCG